GTTCAAACTAATTTTTTGCTTTTGCTCTTTTGATATTTTTCTTAGTAAGGAGCACACAAGAATAAACCACAAAAAATTGAGCTCAATTGGATAAAAGATGTGGTATATAAAAAATCAAGATCGTGCTGTAAAAAACAAGCAAAAATTTGTGGGCCCGAAAACTCGATTTTCCTGATTGAATTTCACAAATATAATTTTTGTGAACCCAGCTTTGATGGGATGAAATGGATCTAAAATTTTCTGGCATTCTTTGTGGATATAAAATTCACCATGTTTCGATTTTGGATACAAAAGTTATGACTATTTTAAGAAAGGGAGTCCGAATCAGGACTTTATGTGGACACAATATGCAGATGTTTTGGTGGTGGTGGCTATTGTTCATGGAAAACAATGAACGGATAACACAAATGGGACTCAAACACGATCTAAACCAGCAACAAGACCTTGACCTAGGACACAAACTCAACATGGCGGACTCTAAAACTAGATTATGTAAAGGCTATGGCGCGGATGGTTCTAGAACAGGAAACAAATATGGCAATGGACTAAGGGACAAAGGCAAAACACTCGATCTCAGGGTAAAATGTGAATCTGGTGGTGTACCTAAAGCTCTGATTACCACTTGATGGGGATAGAGTTCCCGATCTTCCATCAGGTTCAAGATAACTATCGATTTGGTGGAGAGCGACACACCGATCTAGCTTCAAATCATAAAGACCTGAACCCTACAACCTTAGCATTATGTCTCCTCTAGTTATCAACTGTGACTCAATCTAGTTGACCTCAAGTAAAGTGACAATTTGTAGATGTATCATTAAGATCTCAACGTGGGGTTTCACAAACCGATAACGGCGACTGTTCAAAGACAAATTGATCTAAAGCAAAACCCAAACCCTCACGATGGCGGCAGCGAATGAATATAAGGTCTAAGGGTCGTCGCTCCCCCTAATGGACTCAAAGACAATACACGGCCCAATAGACCAAAGATGGTGACGCAGCACCCTATTTTGGACACTGAATTGTTTCGATAATTTTAGTATACTCCCACGTAATTTGGAACTCAATCCAAAGCCATCTGATAGCTTATGAAATTAGCTTTCCATCCATATGTGGATCGTAAAAAACGGAGTTCAAATGCGTCATGGGCATCCATTTTACTATAGGCTTCTTATAGAGCACGAGATGGACTCAAACTTGACATGCATTGGGCCTCCAACTCGGCTTCAACACACTTGCTGGCATCCTAAGGAGGTGGCCAAGGTGTAGGACGTCCAAGGGCTTTCTTGGTGTGTTCTCCATCTCCTTGGGGCATGCCCCAACGTGGTACAGGATCCCAAGGGTGAATATCAGGGCCATGATGATGGTGTAGCTCTAGGTAGAAACAGCGGCAACTTGTCACGATGATTTGGAGGCCTTGCCGACGTGATCTTGAGGTCAAACCAAATCTATTTGAAAGCTTCAAATACACTTTCTATCAAGTGCTCGTGAACCTCAAACTCACTTCAGATGAAGGAGTTATGGCCTTCCCAATGAAGTCTTGTCGGGCCATCGATGAACTGAAAGTTCAACTTTGATGGACTTGCACTTTGAGACACATTTGTACCTACAAGCAAATAATGACATGTACATGGGGAACCAAGTGAAGTATACAAAAAATCACTATACAAATGTAGGAACGAGCTCACCTTATAATCAATTGTCATATCCGATGGTGTCACGTCCTCATCAACAAAGGATGGACAGGGTTGTCACCACTTGTCGCCTACCCCTCAACCATGGGGAATGAGGCAAACAAAGGTAACCTCAAGCCTAGACACCACGTCTACACTATCGATTACTACTCTAGCATCGATCAAGAACTTTCATCTTCATCAGGGGTCCTCTACTAGAGCATCCGCTATGAGAATGGACGATGAACCCATAAGCAAATAAGAATAAAGCTTAAATGACTGAAAGACTCACCACCATATGAATCACAAATACTTACTTAGCGAATGTATCCATCGAGGTACAGAGCAGGTGTTCATCATGGTACAAGCTTGGGGAGACTACCAACAATCCTAGACATTTCCCCAAACTCTCCCTCACATCTCTCCCTACTACTTTGCTCTAGCTAGCTAGGAACTATGCCCTTGCAGTGAAGCTTTTGTTCTTCCTTGGTGTGGTTGTTGTTGAATTAGGAGGGGGTGGCCTTCTTTTATAGGTAGAGAGGAGGGAATGATCCATGGAATATTCCATGATTCCTTCCAAACCTTCATCTAGCGCATTGAATTTGAGCCCATCCTGTGCAACCAACCTTGGAAAGGCAGTAAGTGGCTCCTCGTGCAGGATGGGCCTAGTTGGGCTCCATAGGGGGTAGGCCGACCCCCTAGTGGGCCTTTCCATGCTCAATTTTGGTTGGTGCACTCTAAGTAGGCTTCTCATATGGACCATGGGTGGATGGGCCAAGTCAAGATGGTTTTGCTGTTGGTTTTGGTCTTATTCTCCACGTGATTGGGCCCTGATCTGCCTGGTAAGTGGGCCTTCTCCCCCCTTGGGCTCATGTCGGATGTTGTTTTGTTGTGTTCTTTGTATACCTTAAGCATATTTTCTGTATTATTCTGACATGTCCTCCTGTAAATAAACAATCACCAAAACTTATGGAACTTATTAGTTATAAGCCCTAATTCTAAGTTTGGCATTCATTTGAGCGGATTTTATTTGAGAGTTGGCGGTTAAAAATAGGAGTAAAGGACCACCAACAAGCTCTCCCACACTTAGCCCTTTGCTTGTCCTCGAGTAAAGTTCAAGGACTAAGGTGGAACATCGCCTCAAATGGTATGATGCCTGCATATAAGTTATTCCAAGCCTCATCTATATATGTGAATTTTAAAGTGTCTACCACACCATCTTGAGTGGTTAAGAAATGGAACGGATCAGAATCCGGTTATCTTTACTTCACCTGCTTTGAAAAGTTGGGCTTTTGAAAGATTTTCAAATTAAAACATAACCTTGCTCTTCAAAATATTTCTTTGAGATTGCTTAATGTATATGGTTCCTCACTAAGGCATTGTTTTGCCTCTTTTCATCCTACTTCTAATAAGGCATTTGTGGAGCTTAGGGTAGGGAATGAAAAGGAAGCATACTTGCATTACATATATTGCTAAGTCAAAACCGGATTCGAGGAGAAGCAAGTCATACAATCTGATCAAGATGTGCAAGTGTGTGGATATGTGGATTAAGATAACTCCTGTTTTACTCATGGTCTCTTCTCCTTAATAAACTTTAGAGGGCATGACAATCTCTCCATGGGCCTTCATGTGCCCAACTTTTCTCTCTCTTTTCTCTTTATCTTTTTTCTCTTGGACCTTCATGTGTCCAACCTTTTTTCTTCTTCTTGGACCTTCATGTTTCCATTTTTTTCATTGCCATGCCTCTTCTTCCTAGATAATTGTAGATAGAGATCAAAATTCCCATGGAGTTCTTATTTGGTGGATGGATGGATGACATGTTTTTGTGCAACTTCTAGTGTAGAAGTTGGCATATTAGGGTGGCGTGTACGCGACCTTGATCATGAAAGCATGAAGAGTTTCTCACAAGGGTCACAACAATTTTACAAAACTCAATGCAAAGACAAGTAGCATATGTGTAAGGTTTTTAATGAGATTAACATATGGTCTTGGTAGAAATTTTAACATCATTGAGGAGACAAGCTATTGATTTTGAATTTTTGTAAGATAAAATTCCCAAGTACTTTGCAAAAAGAAGCAAGATTTCTTTCATCATTCCATATCACATTCATCAACTACTTAGATGACATGTTTTCCCTATGATAGCTTGTTCACAAGTGATAGGAATATTAGCGAGAAAAATAAAGAATATGCGAGCCAACCATAGAAAGGCATGTTCATCATGAGGAGATAGTAGGGATAATTGAATTTAATTTTAGTGATCAAGATTATGTTTATTTAAACTCAAGATTTTAAAGAGTTGAGGGTAGTGTTGCACAAACCATCATTAAAGATGAAGGAGCTAAGGAGAGTCTCATAGGTGGTTTGGTTGAACCAGAAGTTCAGCTAACCCTCTCTAGAGTCCATCTGTCATGTTCTTCTATATGTTGGATCGTCCGATATTGTGCAACGTGTTGATGAGATATTTCGAATTATTATGTGTTTATTACGCTTGAGAGACCTCCCTCACACTTATTCTTATACCTGTTTTATCTAATAAAGAAACAAAGATGGACAAACAAGTGCTCTACCAGCTGAAATACTGGCAGCCTAAATCTTATTAACTCAAGGCGAAAGCGATGCTTGAGGTGCCTTGATTTTTACTACTACTACTACTACTATTATTATTACTATTACTATTACTACTATATTTTTTTGAAATTTGTTCACCCAATTTTTTGTCTTTGAGCATAAATTAAAGTAAGGCTAAGGTAAAGTTGCAGTGTATCCCTATCCGCGACGTTGAACCCTGAACGTTTAACATCAAGAGAACTAGCACTCGAATGATTTAAACAGCTGGAAGTCGAAGCCTCAAGACACCGTACCAAAAAAAAACAGCTGCAAATGAGAAATCGACGAATCGTCGTGCCCCTCATGTTGTCTGCAGGACGAGAGTATTGCATAGAAGTAGAAGTTGTTTTTCGTTTCGCTGAAATTTGACTTATACTGTTTCTTATGCTGATTTATTGTAAAAGAAAAATATTGTTCGTTCGCTAAAAAATAGTATCGAAGTAGTGCTGCGGAACCAGACAAGCCGCACAAAATAACAAACATATACAGTTCGGAACGGCAATATGCTGCTACGGTAGCTTTTATTCGGAAAGCCTTGTACTAGCTTCCAACATGTTACACGGAGATGACAACGGTCGGGCCGTTCAATGCATCCGAGACTAATAAATCTAATGACATACATGCACGCGACTGACGCTAGGAACCTGCATACATGACGAGACTTGAGAGACTTCGTTTTCCCTAATCCATGCTCGTTGTGACATCCTCGTACGGGAGGGCTCATGTGTGGAATGGCGGATGGCACTCGTGCTTGCACATGGCTTCACTATCCCAGCAGAACGTCGGCGTGTAGTCGCTCGCGCAGCAGAAGTCACAGCGCCCGTTGCCACACGACTTGTAGCAAAAGGGTAGAGGTCGACCCAATGTCACCTCCGCCGCGCGTTCTCCGGTGACATCTGTAGGCACTCGAGCACCTATATATATCAAAGCATTGCATTGTGTCAGAATATATATATACACACATCCGGCATAGCTAGAGAGAAATCACTCTCTTGGTATATCTACTTACAATGCACGGAGGTCAAGAGACATCCGACGAGAAGAACGGCGATCAGGAACGCGGCCGCTGCAATACCGTCGTCGCGGCGGCCGGTGTTCTTCATTTTGAGCTGACGGTAAGCGCTGCCTTTCTCGGGGCTTTCTTTCTTATTATATCGTGGCTACGGCTGACACAATCACTGTATATAGAGGCCATCCGTTGACTTTATACTCCTATCTGGGGCACATATTATGGAATAAAATACTCCCCAGCCGAACTTTCTAAGATTTGATCATCTGTATATATGACAGCTTTTTTTCTTAAAATAATGAATAATTGTGCTACGAGATTTGTCTCTACTTACAGAGCATGGACAGGTAGGTATATAGTATGTACAAGCTAGCATATGCCATATATATATAGACATCCTGGGGCATATCTAATTGCGATATGCTCCTTTCATACTCCATTTGCCAATAAATAAAATCCATCGGCAGTTCCTTAACTAATAAGTATTTATATTTAAAAAATATTTATACAAATAGTAAATGTATTTGTGATTAGGGCCGTTTATTCTTTTACTAGCAAAACATGTCGTGGGTTGCAACGAGAGACAACTACCATGCGAAACGACTATGAGAATGTAGTATGTCTATTTACATTTTATACTTTCTATAAAAATTTAAATCTAATTTATTTTATGATGACCATGACATCCACATATCTATCTTAGTAAAACATCATCTTTTTCTATGCTAAGTCTACCCAAAAAAACACCTTCGCTGAGATGGCCCTCCGTCACACACCCCATAAAGTGTGCCTAGAAAAACAATATCGGACAAATAAACCATTCAGTTCTCTCATTACTTACTCAAATCTGATGGTCAGGATTGCGTGTATGTACTCCTCAGCCCCCTGCCCTCCTCTCCGCAAGAGAAAAATTCATGGACCGTCCTTCAAGTTGGCAACATGTGTCATTTAGGTCCCCTACTATTAAATGCTATCTCTGGGTCCACAAACTTAGATTCCGGTGTCATTTAGGTCCAAACGGCTCTTAACCCGCTCTGCATGCTAACGTGGCTGCTGACTCTGCATCTGACATGTGGGGGCTGTGGTCCACCTCATCTTCTTCCTGGCGCTGCCACCCATGAACAGCCCATAGGGCCTCCCAACGCCGTAGATCTCCTCCACATACTTTTGCCTCGCGAAGAGCCCCATGAAGAGGACGCCCCAGGCGCGCACCCACCGTGCAGCTGCGCCGCCTCCAGCGGGTCGTCGAACTTGCGCGGCGAGCTTATTTGCGCCGATGAGCACCCACGCGCACACGAACCCACAGATGACGGCCGCCCACGGCTCGACCATGTTGCACCCGGCCGTGATGGCCGCGAACCTGCCGAGGAGGTCGTTGCAGACCTTCCACCACGTTCCAATGGCCCATCTAGAGCCACTTCCCGAACAGCTTGGTGACCGCGGCGACACTGCCGACGATGGTGGTTGTGACGGGGTTGAACCCGTACCAGCCGAACCACAGCAGGAAGGTGCCGAGCACCACGAGCGACGCTCTGTGGCCATTGAGCGCCACTGAGCGGCCGGCGTGGTCGAAGCACCCGATACGGGGGCCTTCGATGAGCGCGCCCAAGAGCCCGCGATGCCGCCGACCATGTGGACGACGCGGGAGCCCGTGAAGTTGATGACGCCGGACCCAAAGAGCAGCGGGCCAGACGTGCGGCTGGCGGCGTCCCAGCCGTTGGCGGACCAGAACCAGTGGGAGGCCACTGGGGTAGACGAACCCTGTGAGGAACGCGGAGTAGATGAGGTAGGCGGCGAACTTGGGTCCTCTCAGCGATGGAGCCCGACGTGATGCCCGCGGCGGCGATGGGCCCACTGGTACAGGAAGAAGTCGTAAGTGAAGCCGGTCTTGGGTAGGTGCTGGGGCCCCAAGACATGGACGGATCTATATACACTCTACAGGGTGCGGGCGCACCTACAAGAATATAAAAAACAGTGAATATGATCAAATTTTTACCATATTCGTATCCATACGGTAAAATCTTATGCACCCACAGGACAAGCGCACCCCCTCACATTTGCTCTAGCTCCACCACTGCCCGAAGAACTACTTGCTGATGAAGCCGTTGGAGGCCATGCCAAAGGCGAAGGCGAAGCCGAAGATGTAGTAGAAGAGCGCTCCGGTGGCGGCGACGAGCACATTGGTGAGCATGATGTTCATAGTGTTCTTGGCACGGACGGAGCCAGCACAGAGCATGGTGAAGACGAGTTAGACCGAGAAGTGCGGGAACATGGCGTCCACCGTGGACGTCGTGTCCGCGAACTGGCTGCAGAGGTAGCTGTGGCATTCGCCGCCGCCGAGCCAGGCAGTGGCACCAAGAAGGAGAAGAGGTGGACCACGACCCCACACGTCAGATGCAGAGTCAGCAGCCACGTCAACCTAGCAGCCACGTCAACCTACGGAGCGGGTTAGAACCCATTTAGACGATGACACTCAAAGTAAAGTTCGTGAATCATTTCGACGGCAGAGGGATCTATATTGCCAACTTGTTGGACAGCCTATGAATTTTCGCTCCCCGCAACCCCACGCGTGGCATCCACGTCCCCAGACGCGACGCACATGGGCGGTGTTTGGTTGGGCTAAGGAAACACAAATGTAAAGGGAATGAAAAAACACTGCAAACGTAAACAATGTAAGCCATTACTTGATTTGTTTGGTTGACCTTCGTAACGGTAACAAACCAGAGCATACGAGCTTCTGCGCGCTGCATCAGTACCTCCTGGGCATCGTCGTCTACGAGCTCGCGGCAGGGGAGGATGGCTAGCCGGGTGCGTCAACTACGTTGCCTCCCTCGCGTCGGCCGCTGGGCACCACGACTGGGTAGATCTGCAGCTGGGCGCCGGAGAAATTGCTGCAGATCGATGATGATCCCCACTGGCTCGCGTTGTCGAGGAGGAGGAGGCGGGTGGAGCCAGAACGGGACCCTCAGCTACCTCAACGATGGCATCAAGGGCATCGCCGCGTGGATCCCGGGAACCCCATGCCGCCGGCGCCGAGCAAGCTAGTCACCGGCGGACGCGTTGCCCTGCTGCTAGCAAGCAAAGGTTGAACGCTTGAGCTGCTGGGTGGAGCAGCGGAGATGATGATAGATTCGGTTCTGTTTTTTTTAATCGACGAGATACAGACTGGTATTCAATTGCGCTCGAGTGCAGGCGGTATCGACTTTGTATAGTCGGGTATTAGATAACGGCGGGAGTTGATTACGCAATGGCTGAAACAAACAGATGCAACGTCATTTGTTACCGTCCGTAATCAATTCCCGTTACATTTACCCGAACCAAACAGCTCGCATCGGTTCGATCCCTGATCCCTATACGACAAAAAAAAAAACGAAAAAAACCCTGGCCACGCCGTGTCGCCCGCGCTGTGGCTTCCCCGGCCGCGCCGCTTCTCCCTCCGCTTGGCCGCCGGGGGCGTTGCCTGCCGACACCATGGCCGCATCTAACGGCGGCGGCGACGGGCGGGGTCGCGCGGCTGCGACACTGGCCCCAGCAGTGGGGCCAGGTCGCGAGGCCCCGACGCCTGCGCATCGGGTCGGAGCGGGTCGCGCGGCGGTGCATCGGAGCAGGGTGCGGTCGGCGGCTTGAGGCGGCTGACGAGGACGAGAAGGGACGTGCCCGACGAGGCGTTCGCGGACAAGATGCATTTGTGTTTTGTTCCTAATGCCTTTGATCTAAACCACCGCAGAGGGAGATGAACCGTGTCTCCAAGCAAATGAATGAATTGGTGCGTACCTTGTGTCACCATCTGTGGCAGTATTCTGTATTTCTGTGTTGAGCTGTGCATTTTTTTTATATTTGAATTTATATTGAGATGAGTTCTGATCTGCTAAACTGGTGTTGTTGACAAACTCTTTTTTGTCGACTAATGGGAATTGTTTTTAGCTAACTCGTATGATCAGCATGTGTTGATTCCTTGTAATCTTGTTTGCAGAAAAATGAATGCACCGAGCTGATAAAGGACAGAACAAAGAAAGATCTTCAAATCAAAGCTAAAGAAGCGGAGAATTCAAAATCTAAAAAAAGCTAATGTGTAAGTACGACTGGTTTCAGCAACTCATTATTTCAATCACCATGATGCTCACTGTGAGTTAACATACTTGTCATCTATCTGTATCTGAAGAATTTGAACATGTCTAGCTCATTCTGAATGAAGCAGCATTTTTGGGGGTGGGTTTTTTGAAATATTACTTGATTCACATATGTTGCTTTCTGTATCAGTTCCAAGACTGTTGACACTGGTTTCCCCTTTCTCATGTGCTAATTTGCTTACCAAGGTAGATAGCCTCTTTTAATTTGCTTTTTCTGTTTGTTTTGTTCAGACGCATTCAAATCAAGGCATGTGAGGTGTATAGTCAGCAGTTATGAGAATTCTTTTATGCATAATACTATAGGTTTCTTTTTTCAATAGTCTGTTCTTGCAAAGAATTTTCCAATATACATTAGTGTTACTCCTACTATTGTTAGTGAGCCAATATGTATCCAGGAGATGAGGTCCGGAAGCTACTTTTTTTTTCTGGAGCCCAAGTAGTTCCAGAGTTCAGACAATGATCTCTTGCTACAGAAAATGTTAACCAGGGTGTTTGTTGAGCCCTGAAAGTGGCACGATCTCAATTGCCTTTTCCAAATTTAATCACTACCAACACATTAGAAAGCTACATTCTTTCTTAAATAGTGTAATCATTAGCCGTCATAGGTTATATTTCATTTTTTTCAGGATTTGCCGGCATGCTTTCTTATGTGTCCTTTTTTTATTTAAGAAAAAAAGTAATCTAGGTGAAATGGGATACTTGATGGGATGGGCTAATTAGCGTTGAGCAGAATTATAAGCTTGATGTTAGCTCTCTTTCCGTTGCATGTTTATGAATCTACATCTCAGGCTAGATTTATAGCAAAAGTCCCTAATCAAGGGGATATGTTGATCTTACCTTTTTTTTTGTCTTGGCAGGACTTATGAATCTGCAGCAGTACTTACAGTCATTTGCTTTGTCTTCTCAGATACATATTTCATCTGGTTGGGACGTCATGCAAGCCTGTGGGCTATTGGCAAGCAATTGCCGCTTCTGGTATGTGTTCCCTATGTCAATGATAATGCAAGCAATTAAATCATGTTGTGTCTTCTCAGATACATATTTCATTTTCTCATGAATGAATTGATTTCCAAATCACTAGATGCACTTACTAACTAGAGCTCAAAACCTAGCAATCACTAGCCCAACATGTCACCTAAACCACCCTAGAGAGCCCTTGCACATGCATGGTAAACATCATCCACAATCTAGGCTTGCATCAGAAATGAGCACTATGAACACCGAAGAACATAGGTTATGTTGACTCATTGACGGAGCATCCATCACATCCACGGATCATCCGTCAGCACAAACACTTAACCAAAATCACAGCCAACACTTAGTCTTCACTGTTAATGTTTTCACGGATCATCTGTGAGAGATCCACGGATCGTCAGTAGAAGCAATCAAGGTTCAGGCACGTGAATAGTGTTTTCCAAGCACTCCTATCTAAGGCTAAGTCTTTGGGTATATTTCATCCTTTCAAGTCTCCTTTTATTGCTTCTACCCAAAGTCAACTTCGGTCTTCCTCTGTCTCCTCTCTTCACGTTATTATCCTGACTTAGGATTTCACTACGCACCGGTGCCTCTGGAGGTCTTCGTTGGACATGTCCAAACCATCTCAACCGGTGTTGGACAAGCTTTTCTTCAATTGGTGCTACCCCTAATCTATCACGTATATCATCGTTCCGAACTCTATCCCTTCTTGTATGACCGCAAATCCAACGCAACATACGCATTTCCGCGACACTTATCTATTGAACATGTCGTCTTTTCGTAGGCCAACATTCTGCACCATACAACATAGCAGGTCTAATCGCCGTCCTATAAAACTTGCCTTTTAGCTTCTATGGTACCTTTTGTCACATAGGACACCAGATGCTTGGTGCCACTTCATCCACCCTGCTTTAATTCTATGGCTAACATCTTCATCAATATCCCCGTCTCTCTGTAGCATTGATCCTAAATATCGAAAGGTATTCTTCCTAGGCACTACTTGACCTTCCAAACTAATATCTTCCTCCTTCCGAGTAGTAGTGCCGAAATCACATCTCATATACTCAGTTTTAGTTCTACTGAGTCTAAAACCTTTGGACTCCAAAGTCTTCCGCCATAACTCCAGTTTCTTATTCACTCCTGTCCGACTTTCATCAACTAGCACTACATCGTCCGCGAAAATATTAAGCACCCCTTTCACGGATCATCCAAGGATCGTCCATTAAGGACAAATATTAAATTTCCACGGATCATCCACGGATATTAAGCACCCCTTTCACGGATCGTCCATTAAGGACAAATATTAAATTTCCAGAGAATCCTGGAGCACCCCTTTCACCATGGAGCATCTGACAATTTCACGGATCATCCATGAACACAATCACCAAAATGGCTAAGTCCTTGCACCCATGGATCATTCTGGGTAACGTTCTATCATCACCATGGATTGTTCGGCAATTCACCGGTACATTCCGTCAACTCACTCAGAGCCCAAACCTAACTTTCCATCCTCAGGAGTTCACTCACGGATCATCCGTTAAATCCACGAGCCGTCCTTCGAATTAAATAAAATATCTCATGATTAACCCTTAACCCGAGGACTCAACCACCCTATTCTATAATCAAATAAACATCAATGAACCTCTAATCTATCAATGGTTGATTGTCTCTCATACACCACAAGTGTACCACTTTATCTCTCACTTTTCCCATTTTTCGATCTCCAACTCTTGCAATGCGCTAATTCTGCAGGTCTATATAATATGTGAGAACCCTGTGTGAGTAGTCATGGTCACCCTTGGTCATCGGGACTTCATGACAAACATGCACCATTACTACTACCCCTATTTTGGATGCTTACATATTCATTCATTATGAGTTTGCATTTCATTTAAATGATGAACTATTTAACCATGTTTCACTAAGTTAGACCACTCACTTGAGTTAATCATAGCCTTGACATAAACAACGGGCTAGGATCGCTTAATTGCTTAGTTGGCTAGCTCCGTTAAAAGTGGAGCATGAGCGGGCACTCACTCTCACGTGTGTAGGAGCTACACTGGGATAAGTAACTACATAAAACTTGCAAGGGTGTCAACTTGACTCAATTCACTTAATGTGACTAAGGACTCACCTTTAACTTGAATTAGTAAGTGATGATCAATTTCGTAATCTCTACTCAAGCGAGGGGTAAGGTCACTATGAGTGTTGGACCTCAAGTGACGTCTCGTGGAGTAGCTAATAAGCACCATTCATGGGATAGTGAGTTTGAGTAACCACCTATACAGACCACATATTGCTTATGGGGGCGATAAGCCAAGTACTTGGTGGTGAGTCGCTTATCACGTGGATTCAGCGTGAGGGGTGACATGTGGTTTAGACGAGATGTCGTTACATCGGTACCCCATCAAACTGTTTGTCAATCTGAGAGCCACATTGAGGAAAGGTCGGACCCATGAGGCAACCCTTATCCATGCATGGTATGGTGGTTCATCCTTGGTGTCCATGTGGGTACAGTTGTACACCTCTATAGAGATCTTTTCGTAAGCCTGAAGTCTTCGGACGGACTTATTAGTTGTTCTCTCTCTAGACTCAGTAGTGCTAATGATGGAACTTGATGATGAGATGATTATAATATTGATCACTTAACTATGTTTCACCATTACTACTTGTTAATACAACTATACTAGTTACGAATTGAATTATGAATCATGAGCATATCATTCTCTAATAAACGCCATGCTTTTTATGCAAAAGTTACACATGCCTATTAATCCCTACATCCACCAAATACGTATGTTGGAATAAGCCTTCTGAGTACACGCAATGTACTCATGGTGCTGCTAATAAGTTGTTTTGCAAGTACTTTCGACTTGATGACCAAGCTCAATGAAGTCGAAGTGTAGCAGACTTAGAGACAGCATCCCCCCAAATGAGCTGTAGTTATTCTGACAGTAGTAGAGAAGAGATTGAGAGTAAAACTTAGTTAGAACATGGGTTAATTAATGAACCATCTAGATGTCATGTTTAAGATTGCACCTCACTTGTATTTTCTTTTATGATTAATGATGTAATTTGATAAATTATTCAATGTATGATGATTGTGATATGTGAGTGGCTTGATGATTGGTTCGTGTTGTGTAACTCAACCATAAAAGATCCTGAAGAGGAGGTGTGGATGGCACTATCTCCTGGGATCCTTGGTGTCGTTTTAGGCTAAAGCGGGTCGGTCAAGGAGATGACACTTGGTTTAGTTAAATTGACGCGTTGGAACCCCATAATCACCAATGATCCATGGTGAAACAAAAATGTATCATAATTATGCACTAGCCTATGGCATGATTTTGATTTGTCACTAAATTCGTCATAGATATGCACATTTCTACTGTGATAAGTGTGCTTCCTTCTGATGAACCAAGGCTAGTATACCTTGAGTCTAAAGTAGTTTGGTTTTTTTGTTAAGCTGAGGAAACTTTTATGAATAAGTAGTTTTATGTGTCATATAGACACTAATTAAGAACATTCACATTTCAATCTATATATGCTATATTTAAGAATATCATTGCATGGACATATTCCTTTCGAAGATGAACATAACTATTCCACTTATTGTATTTCTACTATTGGTTTGTGAGCTCGTTGAACCCAAGGTGAAATGAAAGTGCAAATATATGAGGATAAAATGGTTTTTGAATATTTAAGATACTAAGTTACTGAGGTTAACTCTAATTCTTGCTCTTTTGTGTCAACTAATTATTATGAGCACTTATAGCCTTTGATAGAAAGACCACTAGTGGTTTGCGACTGATCAACAAAGAGTCATGTGTGACGCAATCAAAAACATTTGTTACCAAATTGGTTAGTGAAATCCACCCTGCATGCATACATAAATCATGAAGGTATGAAGAAAACATGCAATTCATATCTTCTTAGATCATTCGAAATAACTTCTCAAGAAAACAGGGAAGACCAAACCAACCACACACTGACCTAGTTGTATACTCCCAATTAACAAAATTACTTACACTAACATTCATTTGGTAGATCTGTACCAAATAAAACTATTATGTACCATATCACAAGAAAAGATATGCAAATATTACAAGATTCGAAATGTTCATGATCATTTATGTTGCAGTAGCTCATCAAGATATTTGAATAGATAAATATTTATCACATGTGTGAGATGAAGCATTGAAATCATTAAACTTCCCCATTGACGATGTAGTCAACTAATAGTAGCTAAACCAGATGCTGGTATCATTCTATCCTGTGTGCCTAGGAATGACTTTAGTGGCGGTATGGCCATGCATGACCACACATGTCACCCGTCAATGGCAACATACATGGGCGCACATGGATCTGCCTTGAAACCTCACCTCCACAACCAAACTAGACTGCACTAGTGTTTCTCTACCTTTTCTACTCTCAAGTTTGTGCTCTGCATAGGAAAACTGTTGGCGTTGGCAAGTTGACAATGTGTATATGGAGCTTATAGCAAACTTCTAGCACTAAATATTAATGCATTTAAGAAAAATAGTCGCACAAGTAGAGATATACTATTTTGACTTTGTTATCGAAATCTCAATTTTGCCTTCATATCGAAGTCAATTGTCCAATTAATCAAAATTAGGACAAAAAGATTCACATGAGGCCTATAAATACCAGCCTTGGTGTTTGCCAATCTCCACAACCCAACAACCCTCGTTCTTAGCCAAACTACCAATTGTTGCGTAGTACTCAACCACATGGATCCCAAGTTCAAGGGAGAGTGGAGTGCCTCTGAGACCAAGATGATGAAATCTCTCATTGCAAGGGACAACGCCAACAACAATGGTGCTAGTGATATGAACAAGAAGCACAATCAAATTGTGGATGAGCTCCAGGCAATGTTCCCTAGCAAGGAGAAGCATCAGGCAACCAACTTGTACGTTGATGTCTTTTTTTTGCGAATCAACTTGTACGTTGATGTCATGGTAGAGATGATGCAAACATTACAGAGTGGCAACCAACATGTGGAAGCAAGTAGCAACCTCATTAATCAACCCTTTGGGGTGTTTGTGGGGGATCCATCCATGGGCAACAAGGAAGCATTTAATTGTTATCAACAAGTGGAGATGTTCGGCGTGAAGAATGTGAAGGATACTCCACGGAGGAAGCCCACTCCTCGGAAGGAGAGCCAACACACTGGGAGGTTTTGGACCACAGACGAGCATAGGTTAGTTATTTGCTAGATATCCTTAAACCATTTCATATAGATTTTTAATGCTATTCACATGAAGTTTTAGTGCCCTTATTAAGCATAGGTTGTGAGGTATTACTATGATGAGGTGTTTATATATTATTTTTCTTTTACTAATCTTGAATATGTATGGACATGGAATCTAAATTTCTATCTAATTAGTTTACTTCAAACTCTACCTCATTGTAGGCAATTCCTCCGTGGTCTACATGTGTACGGTCGTGGAAATTGGAAGAACATCTCCATGCACTTTGTTACCACCAAGACCCCGGTGCAAGTTTCTAGCCATGCTCAAAAATACTTCCTCAGGAAAGAAAATGGCACCAAGAAGCAACGTCATAGCATCAATGACGTTGGACTTTATGATTTTGAGCCCTTGTCGCAGACAAATGCTTCTACCTGGGAGGGGCCCACCTTTGGTGGAGGTGTCTACAAAACAAATCACTATAGCTTTGGTGGACATACTACTTCCATGAACAATGCCCAGGCTTGGTCACCATTCCTATACCACACTGACCATGGAAGTAGCAGCAATAGCCAGATGGTCACCTTGGTTATTGGCCAGCAACAAGAGCAGATGGGAGCTAGTAATTCTTTAGTGGCTCCGACAATGGAGGCGGATGAGGGCCACTTGGACTGGACTAGTGATAAGATGGGAGATCTTGATACTCGTGGATGATGAATGTGGGCATAAATTAGGTTTTATACACCATCTAGTATGCCAAGTTGCATGGTGGCCTATTAGTTCATCCTATATATGTGGGTTCAGCATCATAGTATTCTCTTATGCTAGAGTGTGAGCAACTTTGTTGTCATGAAATATTGTGTGGTATTTTCAAATGTATGTGTCTTGTTTCATTATTGCATTTTACTTAGTTTGGTGTATCGGCTATGTCAGAATCAACATTGCATTGAGCTTATTTATTTATCCTCATTTATGCACTGAATTTTATTACTTACCCAATTTTATATTATTTCATTATTTAATGGTTGGTTGGGGACTTTTACTCCTATACATATTGATCACTTAGTCATTACACAAATTAGAGAAGTAGAAGATGGAAAATTTCATAGGCAGATCTCTATCAGTAAGGAAACGTAAGACTCTCATGTATAAACTGATCCTAAACTATGCACACATGTATGCAATTTGTTCCTCTAGAGGGTGGCATGCCACACATTACATTGTTGTACTATTTCACTTTGAAGTATCCCATGGTTTTGGGATTTTCACATGGAATCAATTGAGATTAGGACATTAAATTTCAAGTATCTAAACATTACTAGCTAATCCAAACAAGGGATAGATTCATAACAAGATGAAACATGAAGGATACAAATAAATAATCAACACTGCAAAGATATATTAATAGTAGAAATGGTGAGGAGGAACAAATCGGGTTTTAGGAATCTGCCGGGTTTGGTGGCAGGGTAGACTATCACTTGAATCGGTGTCCGAGGCTATTTCAGGTTTTGAGTTCAAGTTTCGGGTTTGGGTCCGCAGAGGTTCCACCCAACCCGAATTCAACCCGTTGCCATACCTAGTCTAGTTGTGGTTAATGTGGAAGTTAGCAGAGGATCTGGCTATGTGTGTGGGTGGGGGGTTGAATGGCTGTCCAAACATTTTGGAAAAGATCATAAAAAAGGCATATTGACCCCAAAAGTTTTCAAATTTGAAGTAGAGATGAGCCTTGGCGGGTCCCTCTTGTTGAAGAGCACAGATGAGCAATGGTCAGATAATACCTCGGAAAACACTTGAATGACATGTATGCGAGGGGAAAGCTATATCCCTCTGTGTCTGTTGAGGTGGGCTAGTGTTGGTTTTTCTTTTTTATTGCTCCAGATGAAACTTATAATTTGGAGATGTAATTCTTTTAGTCGGTTGTAATTGAACACCGGTGATTGACCTTGTTGTTGTTCTTGTCCTTGGAGCAATAGACGGGGCTAAAATCTCGTAGGATGAGCCATTTATTCCATGTAGAGGTCACAGCTACTTAAATTCTCCTATAAAATCCGCTTCTTGGCCATCGTCGGGAGGGCCACAGATAGTGCTAAGCAAGAAAGAGGTACTGCATTCTAGCATATTTTTAAAATTTTTACACTTTTTAAATTTTTATTTTGAAAACAGCCGTGCTTATTTTTAATTTTTATTTTTAACCTTTTTGCCGCGCCAACACACCTGACGTGACAAAATCACGTTGTCGCGTTATATGCATTGGCACGGCAAGATATTTCACGTTGGATGGCGACTTCTACATAGTAAACCTTGTCACGACACTCCTGTTGGCGCGACAGTAGTGTTTTGTCGCAGCAATAAAGTGGCGTGACAAGGCTTAGCCTTACAAAAATTATATTTTTTCCATACGACATTGGATATGAATACGATTTTTATATGAAAATTGTAGAGTTCGATTAGATCTACAACTTTCTAGTTTTGAGTTTTTTCACTTAAGGTCGTTAAGATGCTCAAGAAAATAATATAAAGTTTCAGCAGCATAATAATCACACGAGGGCTTGTCGTCTTAGAAAAATAATATATTTCTTGTATGATATAAAATGAAGATACTGTTTTAAAATAAAGTAATATCTCTCAATGGGATATGCAAGAGTTTTTACATTTGAGGTTGTTAAGATACTAAAAAGTAATATAAAGTTTTATCAGCATATTAACGGCGCACTAAAATTATATCTTTTCTTGTACGTTGTCAAATAAAAATAGTTTTTATATTAAAGTTATAGTTATTGATAAGATCTACAAATTTTAAATTTTGAAATTTTGTATTTGAGATAGTTAAGATGCTCAAAAGATAATCTAAGTGGGGTTTTTTTAAATGAGAAATCGCCAAATCGCCGTGCCCCTCATGTTGTCAGGACGAGAGCAAATTGCATAGAAGTTGTTCTGGTGCGGGTGCGGCTGAAATCTCAGCATGTCAAGCCGCACAAACATAGAAACATATATATAGCTCATTCAAAACGGGAACATGCTGCTACCTTTTATTCGGAAAGCCTTGTACTAGCTTGCACAAAGTTACACGGGGATGACAGCGGTCGGGCTGTTCAATGCACGTGAGACTAAATCTAATCTAATGACATGCATGCGCGCGACTAGGAACCTGCGTACATGGACGAGACGTGAGACGAGTTCCTTTTCCCTAATCCACGCTGGTTGTGATCACACTGTCTGTCAAACGGGAGGGCTCATGGGCGGATGGCACTCCTCCTTGCACATGGCTTCAGTGTCCCAGCACATCGTCGGCGTGTACTGGCTCCAGCAGCAGAAGTCGCAGCGCCCGTTGCCACACGCCTTGTAGCAAAAGGGTCGCGGCAACGTCAACTCCTCCGCCCCGCGCTCTCCGCCGGTGACATCTCTAGGCACTCGACCACCTATATATATGGATCACAGCATTGCATTGCATCAGAATATACATAGACGTCCGGGATCTGGCCTGAGAAATCACTCTCTTGGTATATATATACTTACAATGCACGGAGGTTGCAAGACATCCGAGAAGGACGGCGATCAGGATCGTCGTCGCCGCTGCATTACCGTTCGTCGTCATTTTGAAGATTGACGCAAGCACGCTGCCTTTCTCGGTGCCGGGCTTTGTTTCTTATTTCTTATCGTGGCTACGGCGGAGGCCATCCGTTGATTTTATACTCCTATCTGGAGCACGAGTTATGGAATAAAATTTTCCCCAGCCTAATTTTCTCCTTTTTAGAAAATAGCCTGCATTAGACTTTCTAAGATTTGATCATCTGCATATATGGCAGCGTTGCTTAAAATAATGGAAATTGTGCTTCGAGATTTGTCTCTCCTTACAAAGCATGACCGGATATATAGTATGTACAAACTAGCATATCTGGATATGCCGTATGTACATCCCAGTGCATATCTAATTATTATTTCCATATACTCATTTAATACTTCATTTGCCAACAAATAAAATCCATCGCCAGCATTTCCTTAATTAATAATAAGGCCGATTAAAGAAGGCCCGGCCATATTTCACACTACTATAGAAAAAGAAAGCCCATTGCAGCTTCGACGCTCTAAAGGCCCAGCACGTTCATAGCCGCGCCCATGGATTACAAAACTGCACGATGACCGCACATGGCACAGCGAGAGCGGTCAAATCATCGAGAGACAAATCACCTGGGCCCACTTCACAATATTGATGAATCATGACTGACCATTATCCATCCGACGGCTAAGAATTGTCTGATCGTGTCAACCCGTGATTCGGCGACGGTGTCTCCCCTAGTCAAGTCAACCCGCGTTCAAAAATACACAGACAGTCTGAAGTCTGAACATTCCCTGTCTGCTCCAACCAGTTCACACGCCGCCGCCGCCGCCGCCGCGTGCTCGCCGGAACCCTAGGACCCTGCGACCGTGGCGGGAGGCGCTGCCGCGGCCATGACAGGGTGCGCCCCCATCTCCGATTCGACCATCTTCTCTCGTCCCGCTGCGTTTCTCCGTAGGAAGGAACGTCATCTGTTTATGTCGGAAAAAGGGAGCGCCTTGGGCTGCGGGGGGCTACGGAGGATGCATCCTTTTGGCATTTGTGTTGGGGGAATTGATATCCGTTATCAGTCGGTGCTAATCTTTTGCAGTATGGGGTGGTTTGGGGGAATGCACGATTCCACTGGGCGCAGCAGTTGTGCTACAGTCAAAACCCAAAACAGATGATTTTGGTTGGGGGATCCTATGTGCGTTGTTTTCTTTCATTGGTTTTGATCAAAAGGAGACGTCTTTTCATGTTATAAAGGTGTTAGGATCGCCATCCTTGTCAAAGATTTGTCGTGTTGGGGCTCGATTTGGTGAGTAAACGGTGTTCAGCTGGATGGATGTGGCGACGACTTTGTTTTTGCGGTTGACAGCAGTCCTGGACAAATGATGAGGTTTCTTTACTTTGGTTTTAGTGATAAGGATGTGTTCTGCAGTACAAATGAAGTATATGTATATGTTCTATTACAGTTATAGTATGTCCACTTCTGTTTGTAAGAGTGCAGTTATCACTCAAAGGGATATATGTTTGAATGTTTGTTTCAACAGTAGACTATGGCTACTAGCTTGATTATTCTGGATTTTTGTCTTTAGTTCAAACTTAGGTTCCCTGATCGACCATCATTGATAGCTTGGTTATGGGCAACTTGGTAGCCCGCTTTGCAAGATAGTGAAGTCACTGGTTGTCTCGTTTTCTTAAAGAAACCACTTCTCTCTTGGTAATATAGTGGGGAAAAACCAGCTTGTTTATGTTCTGTACTGCTGTGATCAGCAGATCATGCAAACTGGACATGAACTGTTCGTGTTTGCTAGATTTGACTTCTACGGATGTCATGGACCCTTGCTTCATGGGTCAACAATATTGTTTTAGATGGAAGTTTGGCTAGAATAGCTATACATTCTGAACTTATCTTTAGGCATCTAGGCAATGGTAGTCAGTGGAGGCAAGTGTGGTTTTCAATGTTTGAAATAGGATGTTTGATCAATATTATTATGACAACAATTTTGAGGAACAACAACAACAACAACAACAAAGCCTTTAAGTCCCAAACAAGTTGGGGTAGGCTAGAGTTGAAACCCATCAGAAGCAATCAAGGTTCAGGCACGTGAATAGCTGTCTGTGCTGACAACAATTTTGAGGAACTGCAAGTTAATTTTGCTCCTAGCAATTGAATTGTTGTCTGTGCCAAAAAAGTAGCTCCACCTCCGTTGCTTAGGTACATTTAATGTGTGGCCTTGATTTTTGTCTTTTTTATTGGTTAATGATCAGTGATTATTTGTTAACAAATGACTGAAATTCTAGCGTTGCTGTTTGTGTTCTGCAGCAACCCCGCTTCATTTTTTTTCTTTCAATATTTTCTACAGGACAACTTGGATAATTGACAGCCAAAGATTTGCCACCAAAATAAAAAATGCTTCTGGGTCTTCAGATCCCAGAAAACAGAAATGGATCAGCAACCCAAGTAAAGAGTGCCCAAAGTGCTGCCATGTCATCGATAACAGTGATGTAAGAGTTGTGCAATGCTATTATGTTGAAGTAGAATTGGGCTAGCTACAATATTTCCACTCCTCCATTAGATATGTCATTTCCATTTCTCTGTAATCAAGCATGGTTAGGAGTAAATAAAAATAATGATATATGAGCAATTGACAAAGATTAACAATTTCGATATCTTAAGGAGTTGGTCAACTTGTTTATAAAACTGGAATAAATATCTATGGTTATAATTGTATTTGTCACTTTAACTGCCTTTCTTTTGAGCTAGCTCATGACCAACTTATATGTTTAGTAGACCTATTATTTCTGAAATGCTTTGACTTTTGCATATACAGTATGAGGCTTTAGCTGTGAATATTCCTTTTACTACAAATCAACATTAAGAAACAATGTCTGAAAGGTTCTATTAAAGTGTGATCAGCTCATGACTGTGTTCTTGCTGCAGGTTGTTCACCAGTGGCCCGGTTTGCCTAAAGGTGTAAAATTTGATCCGTCTGACCAGGAATTAATCTGGCACTTACGGGCAAAACATGGAAAAGCTGGTATAAAACCTCATCCGTTCATTGACGAATTTATTCCAACAGTTGAGGAAGATGAAGGCATCTGCTACACTCATCCACAGAAACTTCCAGGTACTTCTATCTTCTTTCTGAAAGATTATGGGATTTTCATGATTAAGGTTCTTAAGATCTTTTACTTTTACTTTCAGATAAGATCAAATGTGAAAATCTGCAGTTTACAGCTACTGTCAAATGCTTATCTTTGTTAGTAATTTGTTGTCGAGTGGGACTCTTTTTTGTTGATCACACCCTATGGCCTGCATTTAGCCTAGGAAAACTGCAGATAGGGAAAAAAGGCTTATTTTACTTTTCATTTAGTTTTTCACCATGTCGCTATGCGACAATTAACAACCTGTACAACTCTTGAATTGTTACTGCCTTCTTTCAAACAGACATTTCACATTCTGGTTGGAACACTCTTGCTTTGATACTCCACTTGTTTTTCAACACTCAAAAGTCATCTCTGTCCATTTCAGGTGTTAAGCAAAATGGAAGTGTATCACATTTCTTCCACAGAACATTTAAGGCCTACAACACTGGGACTAGGAAGCGTCGAAAGATAAACACTGATGATGCTGATGTCCGTTGGCACAAGACAGGCAAGACAAAGCCAGTATTAGTTGATGGAAAACAGCTTGGCTGTAAGAAAATAATGGTGCTTTATATGAGCCTGGCAAAGGGTGGGAAGGCTGAGAAGACCAATTGGGTGATGCACCAGTACCACCTAGGCACTGGAGAGGATGAGAGAGATGGTGAATATGTCGTCTCCAAATTATTTTTTCAGCAACAGTTTAAACCTGGGGACAAGAATGCACAAGAGCTAACCACATCGGATCATCTGGAATCAATGGCTGCTGAAGCAGATCTCCCTGATTTTACTACTTTGCCCGCTGACAAACATGTTGGTACAATCCAAGTTGTCCATAATTCTGAGCATAATCTTTACCAGGTAACCACATCGAATGATCTGGAATCAATGGCTGCTGAAGCAGATCTCCCTGATTTTACTACTTTGCCCGCTGACAAACATGTTGGTACAATCCAAGTTGTCCATAATTCTGAGCAGAATCTTTACCAGGTAACCACATCGGATGATCTGGAATCAATGGCTGCTGAAGCAGATCTCCCTGATTTTACTACATTGCCCGCTGACAAACATGTTGGTACAATCCAAGTTGTCCATAATTCTGAGCAGAATCTTTACCAGGTAACTGAATATTCTTGTGTACATTATCTATATTTTCTATGTCGCGCACATTTGTGGGTGATAGGTATGTTCAACCAGAAAATAGAACATATACTGCTAACTTGTTTTTCGATAATTGAAAATACATTTTTTCTGCCTAATGTGCAGGTTAACAGAAACTGTGAAATAAACATTGAAGAGACTGTTGTCCTCCCACCCTCTGAAAAAGCAGAGGATGGAGATAATCCCCAATCGCAAGATCCGAAGTTGTGCGAAGGTGATTCCCAATTTGAACTGTTAGACTCTCAGCAGCTGGCAGAAGGACTCGCTCTCTGGGGGGATGAGTTCCTCCTGAGTCAGTCTCAGACCTCCTGTGGCGGTGGAGATGAACCTAGAGTGACCAAGCCTTGCCTGGCTGCTTATGCCCACCTGTCAGCAGAGGACTTCAAGAAGGATTTAGAAGAGTGCCAGCGGTTGGAGCCCACAGATACCACAAACCTTGAGCTTGACAACACTAATGAGTTTCGACTGAGCCAAATTGTATGGTTCCGGTACCATCAGTTACATGATCAGTTCTCCATTTCTCCCCGTACTTGCTAAACTTGACCTCTGCCTGCAGGACTTTTCACAGGATAGCTTTACAACATGGGCAGGTGGCAAGATGACTGACGACTGACGCTGCTCTGCTGCACTCTCGGCACCGCTTGGTACATGAAGAAACAGCTGATCTGTTTTTTGTGAGACTGCAGTGAAATGTGCACCAACAGTGGTCTCCCTTTTGCATTGAGTTGCTCCGGTGCAAATGAACTGAT